GAAGAAAGTAAACCTACAGACATCGGTCTTATTCAACAAAATCTGCCTACAAGAAAATCTGTCACCAAAGTACACCAAAATTCTTTTATAGGAAATACTTTTATCTTGAATACTTACATATGATTGAAGGCAAGAAAAGGTCATCGTTATTACATATAATTTTTTTCTCGGTTTTTAAAGTAGATACCTGTCTCGCCAGACATAACCTAGTGGTACTATTCTGAGCTGTGAGTTAGAAGGCCCAAGATTCAAACCATGAACCATATGTTGCTGAACACTACATTTTTAAGTTGTGGGGATAATATAACTGTGATAGTCATTCCCACTATTCACTTAAGTGTTACTGCTCAAATTTAGAATGGTCATACCTGAACCTTATTGGTCTCTGATCTGGCTATTTTGTATATACCTTGTATAAGGTGATGTTGAGGTTGAAAATACCAAATATACATGTTAGTTTTAATATTGAAACAAATACTAAAAGCCTTTTCTTGTTGAGTGGTTCTCATGCTGTCAATTACAATGTGAGTTCAGGTTCTGAATATCCTTAACATAATGAATAACATGCACCAACTTACCCAGAGTTCTCCATTCTACTGCCTTTCATATAACTTATTGCAAATGCATAAGGATAACAAATATAAACTGATTTTCAGTGATAAGTCATATTTTATTTTTAATAGTCATGCTGTTAACTTCACCCACTATGAATTCTGAAGTCAATGTTAGCTCCAATGCAAATGCTTCTATCAATGTTGAAAATCGTATAACTTTCTGGAGGCCTCTAGCATGCAGGGTGAAATTGTGTCTGCATTTTCAGCCTTATTGATCAACATATTCAAACAGTTAATGCTGAATTGTTTGTCCTGCCTTTTTTTATGATAATAAACAAGACTAATATTTTGCTCATGCCTATTAAGAGCATGATTTGTCAGCTAGTTATAATTGCAAAGAATCTTCTGCTAGTCTCTTTTCTCTAGTGTACATTATGTTTTAACTTTTGAACCAATTTCTTTTATGACTGTGGTCACAAATTTCACGAATCTTTATTTCTTCTTTGGGTCATTGCTGTTGCTTTTAGATAGCAAAATATTAGCTTTCACATTCCTTGCATTTTTCATGTGGGTGGCTATCAATGAAGTAATTTTCCACTATTTTTCTTACTTTTGAAGTTCTTAACCCTCAAATTGGTTATTGATGGAATCTAATACTTTGACCTATCATCAGTTTTGTTCTCTGCATGCAGTGATTTGTCTCATTTTGAGACTATTTCTTCACTAAAAGTATAAGCAGTTTTGATACTTCGTTTTCTCCAGATTTCTTTAGGCAGGATTAATTTTCTACCTTGCAGTATTTCTTCCCTGCAGATATTATTGAAGTAGTTTCTATTACCATGTGGCTTTTATGTTTTTTTGACACCTTAGCCCATCAGACTTTGTTACAGTTACTCATCTCCCACCAACATTTCATCTGACATCCTAAGAACATTCATGCATCATTTTGTCTTTGCAGGAATTTTACTTAAACTAGTTGGAATTCAGGGGTTGATTAGAGTTTACTAGCATTTGAACTTTTTCTGGTTGTTGTTGTTTCTCTTCTCCTTCAACATCTGCTTCTACTTTGTAATGGATTTATTATTATATATTCATTTTGATATCAACGTTTGTTTAGATTAAGGTTATACTCAGAAATATGTATAGATTATAGTGTTAAATATGTATTGCAAAACTCCTGCCTATTCTCCAAAGTTGTAGAAGATTCTCGTGAGAATAAATCAACAATGTATTTATGTATGTAAATGCTTAAATTTGTATTGTTAAGGTAATCTGAATTTTCTAGAAAGCCTCCACACACCTATAAATATAACCAACATGACGCACCAAAGAGAGAGTATCTATTATTAGTTTGCTGTAATCAGTGTGCTATAAACTTTGGAAGCTATAACTGTGATTGTTCTAATGCTTATGACTTTCTGGTTGATTCCTCCATTTCACTATAGGTATTCTATCTTTAAGTATTTCACATGTAAGTCTATACCAAATATGAATTTTACATTTTCAGAATTAAAGTTATTTTTAAATAGGTAATTCATTTGAAATATAATCCTACTTACCTTCCCACAACTGAGAGGAATATACTATGTTATCAAGACTAAACAAATAAATCTGGCATATTGTTATAAAGCAGCGCTTATGTAAATACTTCTGATTGTGTAAAATAAGTCACTTCAAATTTGGGGGAGTGGAGAACTCTGAGTAACAATCTGAGGACAATCAGAATGAAGTAACATGATACTTGACAGCATGAGAGCAACCCAATAATGAAAGGCTTTTAGTGTTTCAGTGGTAAGTACCTCTTTGAAATTCCTTTTAAATCTAAGGATATAAAAGTGTGCCTAGAGTTGTAGGTCAGAACCTGGTAAATCTGATCTAAAATATTTGATAGCTTACCTTTGTAAATATTATCATCTATAACATGAATCAATCAAGGCTGTTATCTGCTGTTTCGTGTTTTATTTATTCTTGTTAAAAAGTAGACATCCTTTTTCTGACCTTGTGTGTGTGTGTGTTATCTTTAATCCTCAGTTTATATAAGATTTTAAGATACAAAACAGTACACTTTTTATCCCTATTTATTAAAGTTTTCATCCCTAGTCAACTTATTTTTTCCACAAATTACAGTAGTTCTTATCTTAATTCAATAGTCTTGCCACCCCTCATGGCCAACTTCTGTTTTCATTAGTACTTGCATAAATAAAATGTTTCTCTTTTTTGTCTGTTTACTGAATCTTGTCTTCAAACCTCTGTTTATTATTTTGATCAAGAATTGAGTTTTTCTTATTCTGAGTCTTGGAATACCATGAAGGCAATACCCTGAAATTAAAAATGTCGGACATATTTTTGTATCTTGAAGTTTCAAATTTAAAACATTGGAGATCTGTTGTTTTTTTCTTGTAAGGAATAGAAAAAGTTAAAATTGATTTATGAATTAAAGCTCTATTTGGTGAGTAAGGATGTTGTAAATTAAAACACTCTAATGTGGTAATTAACAGGTATAACGTATATTTTTTGTTTCTGTTTTACTCCAAGCATTGTAATTTTTTTGCAAAAACGTATCATCATTTCTTTAATTAACAGGCCAAACCTCTGATTCCAGAGGATGGATTAGTTCATGATTATTGCTTGGAGATTGGGGAAGTCACAAATTCTGTGGTAGACAGAGCTGTAAAAGATAATTCTGTAAATGGAAGTGAAGAAAGCAAACAAGTATTCTATAAATATATATATTTTTTTATTTATGTAGTGTTTTCACACAGATAGTTAAAGAATATGATGGTTTTGTAAAGGATGTTATATTAGATTTATATAGCTTTCTAATTTCAGTGCTGAAATTTATTTGTTCTTAAATGTGTTTTCATGTTAACCTGTTAAATGTTTACAGTATTTACCATGTTCTTAGCTAGAAGATTACCAGTTGTACATCACTCAGTTAACTAGGTTTAATTTATGAATGTTGATGTCATCGTGAACTCTCCTTACCACATAATATATTCTTCTAATTTTGCTCTTTTTTTTGTTCCTACTGTTAGAATGGTGGAAGGTTTTAGGATCAGATACAGCTTTCAAGCACTGGGGAGAACTTAAGGAAACCTTAACTAATTTGTACCCAGCAGTGTTAGATAACATAGAATTGGTTAAAGAACTCTTTAATAGGAAGCCAGTTGAAATATTTATTTGGAAAACTGTAAAAATGTATAAATTATGCAATCTTGAGGCTACAGAGAGAGAAACTTTGAAGTGTCTGATATCAGAATTACACATTTACTTACGGGAATACTTTGAATTCCACCTTGTTGTACCTATTGCTGTTGTACTAAAATTTACAAAACAATATGAGCATTGGCACAGAAATAAACAAGCTGTTAATAGAGAAGTGATTAACATAACTGAAGTTTGTAATAAACCTGTGAGTGCTATACTGGTAATCAAATAGGACACTTATCTATGCATTGTCCCAAGAAAGTAAAATATGTAAACAGGGAACAAAGAGATGAAGGATGGTGGTCAAGAAATGAGAACAGAGGATTAAGAAGGGGGTTTTGAATCCTGTAAAAGTAAAATCTTCTATTATTTAACTAAAACTAAAACTGATACAAATCTTCCTTATTGTAAAAGCTGTAACTTGTAATAAAATAATACTTAATCAGTTAGCAAGCTCAAAACAAGGCTATTAATCATGAGAAATGACTCAACAATTCAGTTAAAAACTTGGAGTAAAGGTAATATATGTCTTGCAGATGGAATGGCTAACAGTTGACTGCTAGAATTATTTGAAGTAAAACTAATGGTAACAAATTGTATCATAGACTAATGTTTTGTTGTTGTTAAAGGCTTGCATGTGTCTTGTCTCATTGGATTAGATTTTATTCAGCAAAATTAAGCTACCATTAACTTCTTCACAAATGTTCTTGAATTAAATGTGCCACCTGTTAGGCGTGATTCCAAGGCTGAAAAAGTACTGATCAAAGTACAGTGTTCACATTTAATGAGTAAAGACTGCAAACAATTAAAATAACTTACATTAAAATATGCAGATATTTTTAACAATAAGCCTGACCTCACAGATTTTTCTGAAATTAGTATTGTAACCATTAATAAAAAGCCAGTGTTTAGTGAACCTTATCACTATTCTACTATTCTCTCACTAAATTATGAGTGTTACATGATTAAGTGGATGCAATGCTCCATGATGGGTTAATTGAGCCCTCCAGTTCTTCTTGGGGTTTTCCAGTAGTTATTGTCATGAAGAAGATTAATAATTTTAGATTCTGTTTGGACTACAGAAAATTAAATCAAGTTTCAGAATCTGACCAATATCCATTGCCTCATATAAGTGATACTTAGAACACTTTGTCAGGAGTAATCTGTATCAGTACATTAGACTTATCAACTAGATATTGGCAAATACCTTTAAAAGTAAAGGATCAACATAAAACTGTGTTCATAACTGATAATAGACTTTATCAATTTAAAGTGATGCTTTTGGTCTGAAAAATGCATCTGCCACGAATAAAGCTTTAAAAAAAGCAACTGAATGTTCCAAAGCTCATATTAATGATATTATTGTGTTTTTGCTTACATTTGGTCAACATCTGAAAGACCTTGAGTTAGTTCATGATATATAGTTAGATTGCTGTTTACTGCTTGATATTGTTCTTGTTATTCAGAAGTGGTTTAATTTTGGAACATTGCATTATTCTTTTGTGAATTAGGTTTTTTTATTCATCTGGTTATTTTTTCTAATTTCTTTTATATTGATTGAAAGTAATTTTATTTAGATTTATGTTGTATTGTATATTAATATTTTTACCTAGTCCTGGCCAGGTACAGGTTTACTAATTGTTTTTATAAGTGACAACATTTGTATTTTAGTTGTTTGAAAGTTTTTTTTTTAATTTCTGTTGTTATATTTTAAATATTGTTTTTGTTTGACCCTGATTGTATCAGGGATCTTGTTTAGTCTGTTAAACTGTTTTATTATATAAACCTACCTTGTGTATAGTCTTTCTTGCTTGTCTCTCAATAGAAGTGTTCCACTGCTTGACTTTACAGTAGACATAAACAATTGAGTAAAAGAATAGAATAATTTATCAGTTATTTATATTTATGGAGTATGATTATTTTAATGTCTAATGGTATACCCAGGAATGTTTTTCATGTTTAACTTGGCCTGCCCACATTTGATTTATATTTTCGTAAGAAATGCAGCACCCAATGAAAGTTGCTGTTCATATGGGATAGCCTTTTTAAAGTTGCAAATTTCATTTTCTGTTTGTTCATTTCTATAATTTTTTTTTCAGGTTATGTGTAGATACCACCTAAATCTCTTTTTGTGCCATGTTCGCTGTTTTTTACTTATGATTCATGACTTCTTACTGCTTACATGATTCTATCTCTTGCTCACATTAATAGATTTGTTTCAATGTAATAGTGAACTTCAGTAAACTTTAGCAGAACAGTAATATTGTGACAGTTATAGACTTCTCTATGATTATTTTACCATTTCGTCTATAAATTGTAAAGAAAGACCATTATTATCATTGGGATCTTTCATGGGAATTTTTTTAGTCATTTTTGTGAAGCTGTTTGAGAGTATATTTGTGATTCGCTTATGATTCGCAACTGATTCAAAGATGTCAAATTGATCCCAGCAACTTTACTGCATTGATGACATCTAAATCAACAGCTTGAAGAGAATTATTTGTTGTTTAAAGTCTCTTTAGAAAAGTGCACCCCAGAAATTAGAATAGAAAAAAAGGAAATTTTGAACTTGTCCATCTTTCTCTGTAGACATTCTGCTCCAGTCTGAGTTCTAGGTTTTGTCCTAATACTACCTTTTTTACTTTATTTTGTGGGAACTCTTGAAACACTCATAACAGTTCAATCTGTCACAGATATATATCATGTAACAAAAAAATTATTATGGAAACCAAAATGTAAAAGTATTAGTTCTCATTCTAAAAGTTATTATCAGTTCAACTGTCATTTTAATCATTTTTTTTTATTGACCTAGGAGATAGTATCTGGGGTATTTATTTATGTACAAAATATGCTTATCGTTGTTAAAGTTTGAAGTAATATATGTAAATATTTTATGCTTTCATAGAATTCTCTTTAGTTGCACTTAGGACACAGTCAAATTTTATTATTTAATATTTTAATCTTTCTATATAGGTTTATTGGATTAAATGGAGAGATCGACTTCCACTCTTTTCAATGGCCAAAGGATCTAATCCTGGAGTAGTTATGGTTCCTACAGTTGATACTCTTCGCACTTCAACTATTATTGATATGCTGCTTAGAAACCACAAAATGGCAAGACCAAAATATAATCACATGATTTGTGAATCAGTAATGAGGATTTTCAAAAATAACGAAAGTATTAGAATGAAAATAGATTAAAATACTTACTTTTATGAATATTTCATACTTAATCATTATCTTATATTACAAAATGAATTATTTATTTGTCTAATAAATCTCTGTAGGACCACTTTATAATCATTTTACTGACTTCATGTGCATATTTGTTAAGTATATGCAACACAACATTTAAAACGTACACATAAGTTTATTAAAAGTCACGATGAATAAAAACATTTACTGTACATGTTTTAGCTCAGTAAAATGTGAAGCCATCATCAGGAGTAAAAATAAGTAGGAGTTAAATCACTTGTTTGAGTTGAATTATTTAGTAAGCTGAAACACGCAGATCCTTTTTTTTTAGTTTTAAGAAACTTGTGTGCACTTTTTAAACATTGTGTTGCTGACATTTAATTACTTTTAATGACCTTTTTTCAGGGATGGTGTAGTATAAAACAACAATATATATGAATTAGTGTATAATATTTCATTTCATAGAATTAATCACTATTTTGACATTAAGGTGATGAAGCAATAATGATGTTGTAACTTCAATTTACATGACAGATTTTGAAATCAAGAAATATTAATTTTGTATTTTAGGTACTTTGTGTTGGTCCCACAGGGACTGGAAAAACCCAGATTATTCAGGATAAGCTGACCAAACACATGCCTGATCATTTCATTTCAGACTTTATAACTTTCTCTGCTAGAACCAGTGCTAACAAGACCCAAGATCTTATAGATTCCAAGTTAGATAAACGGTAAGATGTTTATCTCCTTTAAAACCAGGGTGTTTTGAAGTTTCTGATATATTCACTTTGCAAGGGACAAATTAAGCAGTATTAATCGTATATCAAAGATATACTGAAATTAATAAGAAATTATTTCTTTGCCCTATGATATATCTTTGTTATTGTAATGACCAAAATAGTGATGAATTTCACCCGTCCATAACTAGTTTAGAATATATCTTTAGTCAGAATTGTTTTTATAAATTTTGGTGCAGGTGTTTTGTATGTTGTATGACATTTTTATAAACTGTACTAAGCCTTTTACTTGTCTAGAGCTTATATATGCGAATGGCTAGAGGCTCATATCATTTTAGCCTTGTGGCTGACCTCCCTAGGAACAGGTGGCACAAGTTCTGTGTAAATTGATATGGGTTAGTGGTTTTACTAACCTTAAAAATGCTATCTTGAATAGTTAGTGATTTATGCAGCTTTGGATTCTGGTATACTAAACTTCAAAATTTTGTTTGAACATGAGCAATAGATGAGATTTAGTCTTGTCTCTGTCCTGTACAAGCATTTCAAAGAATATTCTCAATTCCAGCAGCCAGTATAATCAACCTGTGAACAGTGAAGAGGAGGAAACTATGATTGAAATTAGACCTCGATCTGTGAATTCATCAAGGATTAGGAGAGGTACTCTCTTTAGACCCAAAATTTTTCTGGACAATGGTGAAAGCTATATCCATGTTCTTGCTTTATTCTCAGGACTGAAAGGTTGATGGTCAGCATGAGACATTCTGGCTGCTGTTACATGACCTATAATGGTTACTTCCTGTAGTCTAGAGTATGGGTTGGCAATAAAATGGTCATGATGGCATTGAGCTGCCTGAACATTCCAAGACATACAGGATTGGCCTCTATAGGACAAAAAAGCACTCATTAACAAGCCCATGTATCAGAAGCGCTGGTTTGAGTATCCTGTGGCCAAGTAGAAGGCAAGATGCATGCATTGGATGAAGTTCATTGTAAAATAGTGTAACAACATCAGGTGGAGCAGTTAGTGTCTTGCCACAATCAAGCAGATCTTGGAGTTAACCAGGAGCCTTCCAGTACCATGTTTTGCAGCTAAAGTGTCAGAGGGGAATGTTATGATGATGCCTATCCCTACACATCATGTCATTACAATCATGCATAATTATGTGTGTTCCATCATTCTGTTAAAGACTTTTCCCAGGGATGTCACATTCATCTCTAAATATGAGTACTCCTGGAAGCCATGTCTGGTGGCTGAGTTTAATACAGAATGATGACAATGTGTATCCTAATGCATTGCATTATTATTAAAGTGATTAGCAATTACCTTTGTCAAGTTGGCAAAATTTGACACTTGCATAATTAATTATGAGTGCAGGACGATGTGTTATACATCTAGCACATATAGCTCTTGAGAAGTTTTGCTCATATAACTAAAATTATAATCCCAGTCATAAACTATTTTATCTGATATTGTTAAGAATGTATACAGGATATGAGAAAATTGGTAATTGTTGACATTATCTAATTAAAAAACTAACTTTAAAATGTTTTTCAAGTAAAAATATTATATCCAAAAGATTAACTAGTACAATTTTTCTCCTCCCCTTCTAAAACAAAAGATATGGATGATATTTGAGTGCTTTTGTAACTGATTTGGGGCTTTTTTTATTTTAACCTTAGCAAATTCAGTGAATTAGATATTACTATTTGTGTAACCTAGGAGAAAAGGAGTATTTGGCCCACCTATTGGAAAAGACTTTATCTTCTTCATTGATGATTTGAACATGCCAGCATTAGAAATATATGGAGCTCAACCTCCAATAGAATTATTACGTCAGTGGATGGATTTTGGTGGCTGGTATGATAGGTCTGTTATTGGTAAGACAGATCTTTCTATGGTCAATGTATTTTATCATCTATATCTTAAATATGTGGATACTCTATTTTGTTTTAATACCTTGGTTATTTTCAGATACTTATTTTGCATGAATAGTTTTCTTTCAATATTTTTCATTTATATTATCAGATTTTGCTTAAATTAAATAATGCTATAAATTAAGAATAAATCTATAAATGTCAAATTAATGTCATAAGAAGGCATTCAAAAGTTTATAAATTCCATTCTTATTGATATTTAGGGATTATATTACTGATAAAATTTCAGACACTTTTTTTCCTATATATTTTAAGAAAATAATTTTTTCCATCAATACAGTAATATTTGTATATTAAATGGTACGTAGGATAGTTATATATAGTGCTAGCTCAAGTTCAAAAATTGAAGTGTATGAAATAAAAATTGCACACTTTTTCAAATTTTTTATTTGTTACTTATTTTTCTGTAAATTACAAAATTTTAAATAATTTTTTTAATCCAGAATTCAGAGTACAAAAATGATACAGAGTAGAAAAAAACATACAAAAAAATAAACATTATACTTTAGAAAATGGAACTTTACAGGCTTTTAACATGGCAAATCTTTTCCTTAATATGTCCATATTAATTTCTCTGGCCATTTCATTTTCTATAGATATTATTGCTGGCCATTTAATCTCTATTGTACCATTGTGGAATGCAACTAGTTTTTTTATCAACTTTAATCTTGAAAACAATCTTTTGCCACTTACCACATCAACAGACAATTTTATAAAATTCTTAGAGCAAAATTTTCTTTGATTTGGTTTTCACATATGTATGTAATAAGACCTTACCAGTGTTCAATGTGATATTTATTTATTCTCTGCACATAAACTTTCACCACAAATCTCCAGTTTCCCTTTGCTTGTTATTATTTTTTCTAAACTTTTACAATTTTTGCACCCCTAAAATTTTATAATGGGTTCTTTGAACCCTGCAAACCCACATTGAGCCAGTCCTGGTTATATGCACATATTCATTACATCAACATTGAGCTGTTTTTTTATCGAGTTGATATCAGGCTATTTTCATTGAATTGATCAATAAAAAGAATTATATGAAAGACCTAATACTATTTTTGATCCTGTTGCTTCACTTCATTTTTGTTTTGTTTTCAGGTGAATTTCACAACATTGTTGATGTCAACTTCATTTGTGCAATGGGGCTTCCAGGGGGTGGTAGAAACCCAGTTACCCCTCGGTTAACTCGACATTTCAACTTTATATCAATTACTGAGATGGAAAATGAAAGCTTGTCTCATATATTTACCACAGTTATGTCTTCTTGGATGGGTAAGATTGACTTAGACAATGATATTGTTAAGGTATTCACTTGATATTAATGACAATTACATGGGTACATGTATATTATTATTTCCACATATTAAAGCATTATATTAGAAGTTACCCTATTGAGGAAAATAATAATTTTCTGTCTCATAGTATGTAAACAGGAGCTTTCACACCATCTGTTTTTAAAAAGTAATGCATTTTGATATATAGTTTAGTAAGTATGCTATTAAATAAAACATTTTTTTATCTCATACTTGGCTTTAAATGTGTATCAAACTTATCTAGCTATAATTTAGACATAATAATGTTTTCAGAACCAAATCTCAAAATTCATCAGTATTGTAAACAGCTTGTTTACTCTACAATTGAAGTGTACAACACAGTTATCCAGACTCTTCTTCCAACACCTTTGAAATGTCACTACACATTTAATTTACGTGATATGTCTCGCATGTTCCAAGGTATTTTTATGGCTGATCCAATGAAAATAGAGGTGAGTCTATTTATGCCAAGAATTATAATTGTATATGAGGTTGCTACTTAAATCTGTCTATGACTCTGATCAACAAAACAAGTATATGTTGTGTCAAATATATGTCATAGTCATTTAGTTTTCATTGGGCTGGGCATGGTCTAGTGATTTGTGTGCCAGACTTTGAATCCAAGGGGCCTTGGTTTCCATCCGCTCTCTTCACTTTGGGGCCAAGTGTGAATTATAACCGTGGTGGTCAAATCCCTCTGTTCAATTAAAATAGCTCAAGAGCTGACAGTGACTAGCTGGATACCTTCCATGTAGTCTATCATTTAAATTAGGGATAGGTCAATAACAACAGCAGTTGAAATCATGGCAAACAATCAATATTTGTGTACAAAGTACTGCCAAAATGTGACAAATACGAGTGTATAAGGCTTTGTCATCAGTTTTGGTCTGCCTGCAAGATGTCTATGTATAAATGGCACTGATTTTCTGTCACCTGATGTGAAGGATAACATTCATCTGGAAACCATTCATCATACAGTATGGCAGCAACCTGGGCATTATGTCTGCACTCTTCATACAGTAGGACTATGTTAAACTGTTCTTCAGCTGAATACTGTACCATTATTTAAATGAATGATGGGATCTAATGTAGTGTATTTTATTTTATTGCTTTTTAACCTCTTGGACCCTTCATAGGTGCAATGGTCTGCTGATGCAAAAGTTTGACCTTGCACCTCAAACCTAAGTTTATGTAACAAGCTTTGCTGTGTTGAGAATTCGATCTTCTGCGGTACACTTCTGAATGCATGGAAGGGTTGCATTTATGCCTATAACTTGTTCTTGAGGAGCAGGTATAGTAATTTGTAGTTCATAATTTCCTTTTTGTTGTATACACCTTCATCTTTAACAAATTTGGTGTATGATGCATATTAACCCTTTCCAGACCAGTGAGTATCTTTCAGGTGTCCAGTGCACATCTGCATAGCAAATTTCAAAATTTAACTAAAATAGATAATTCTAACTCTGTTTCAACAAGTTTTTACACAAAATATTATATAATTGGTATCTGGTCATTTATTTAATGTAATTTCAAGAAAAATAAAAAAAAAGTCCAAACTTACATTTCTACACAGCTCTGATGGGCCTCACTTGTAAAAAGGCATTTTTTAAAGATTTTTTCTGCTCATTCCAAAGCATAAGTTTATATGTGCTAAGAGGCTATCATCTAATGAGAATACAATTCTCAGTTTTGTTTCTCACAATTTTCCTTTATTTTTTTTTCTCTGATTTTGTTAGAATGGCTTGTTGTTCCTACCTCTTTTATGACCTCACAATATGTGATCATAACAACTACTAATGTAGCTCTGCTTTTAAAATAGCTACAGGCAAACTTTAAATACCATTATATAGAGAACATTATATACTATTTACATCTAGAGGGAATAAAGTGGTGTGAGAAGTAATTTGTAGTTTTGTGGGAAAGTAACAATACCCCACTTATGCAGAGAAGTAACAATGAAATGTAGTGAGTATTTATTTAAATGTCACTCAAATTCTTATTTACCAAATATTATTGTTAAGTTTATTGTATTCAAACAACACATAAATAAATAATTATTTGAAAAGAAAGTAGATTTATTAGGTTTTGATTAAGCATATTGTTAGCAAACATATTGTCACCTAACCAGAGCTGACACCTGTCTCCAATAAATCTTTAACAGTTTTTTTGCCATGTTTTTCATGATTTATAAAAATTAACTTAAATCAATTTATTTCTGATTATTTGGTTAGTTGTTTTTTATATTACTGTTACATCTTAATTTTTCTCATTTTTCTTTTTTTTATTTAAAGAGTTGTCTTTTGCTTTATAAGGAGACTTATACAGTTGAAAATTGTGTAATTTCTAACTTTCTTATGCATTTATTCTTCTTCACCATTTTAGTTATATTTAATATATGTGCTATCTTTAGCATATGCTATTTTATCTTACACTTCACTTCTTAGCTAGTTTTCTAACAAATATTTTTTCATTAATCTTTCAAATTTGTGTTTTATGGTAGTGAGTAATATTTTTAAACAATTCTTTGTATTCTCATTTATGCTTCAAGGTGATGTGGATTCTTTAAAATTTTGAAAATTTCAGACACAGTCCCAGATCTTGCGGTTATGGTACCATGAAAGTTGTAGGATTTTCCAAGACCGATTGATTGATTCAGAAGACAAAAACTGGTTGGAAGATTTAATGAGAAATAAAATCACCACAGATTTTGGCATGAATGTTGATGATGTCATTCCAGATCATCCACTTTTGTTTGGAGATTTCATGTCTCAGAATGTTGAAAATAGGATGTACTCAGAAATAGATAATATTTCTAGGGTAAAAATTTTAAATCTTAATGTGCATAAAAACTGTATCAGTCTTTGATTAATTATTGGTTTAACTTGAAAGAATTAATGTTTATAACATTAGTACATATCATTAAGTTTTCACAATGACCTATATACATTTTAGGATACATATTGCACTAAATGCAAAACCATGAATGTGATACTTGTACTCTTTTTGATATATTTTGTAGGTTTATTTAAAATGTGTAAAATTTTGGAGGAATGAAAAATCACTGAACATGTATGTACTGAATTTGTTGAAATCACTTGCTATTTAACTTTGTGACAGTTATTGCTATAAGAATAATAATAACACGCTAACTTTCACTGTCATTCCTATACACCATTGTCACAGTTACCAGAAGATATAAATATGCCGTTTTAAATATGTATATGTATATGCATATACACACAGTTCCCACTCAATTGAAAAATATGGTGAATTCTTTATTCATCTTACAAAGTTGTGTCAAATTATGAATATTTTGCAAACATTTAAAAAAATGGATAAGACAGGGAAAATATTTTAAAGAAGTCAAGGATTGCTATTAAGTATATCGATAAACACACCTAAATCACATTCTCTAGGATTTTTGAGAACTATTCAAATTTCAGTGTGCTAACCTATGTAATTTTTAATTAAGTTGATGTTTGTTATTTCTAACAGAAAAATAAACCCACTCATCATCTACTTATACTTGCACAGAATAAACTGATTTTTTTTCATAAAAATGAGTGAAATACAGTTTTTTGTGAGCCTTGATATAAAATTAAATAACTAATGTTATTAAATACAAGGATATCTAGGAAAATTTCTCAGGAACTATTTTATGCTTGTAACATCATGTTAGTAGCTAATGCTGTGATAAAGTATGTTAGTTTTAAATTTTCTTATCTTACATTGTTTCGAAAGAAACAAATTCGATAAGTAAATTTAAATTCCTGACCATCTATACTTTACAGGTCTACTTTTCTATCTTTTAAGTTAAACATTCAGGAAATATTGTAAAATAAGAAATGTATTGTGAAGTTTTTATTTTACTTGTTGCATTTGTTTCAATTAATCTTTTCTTTTTTAGTTATTTATTTGCATCATTTTGTGTTTTAGTTGTCTAATATTAAACAATTTTCTTTCAAAAGTGACTTTAAATGATAATATTGCTTTTACTCCAGTCATGTATGTTAGAACAATTTACTTTTGTTTAACAAGCTCTGTTTACCACAATACAGCTCCAGCATGTAGTTGAAGAGTACCTGGATGAATATAATCAAACATCCAGTGCACCACTTCATCTGGTAATGTTTCAAGATGCTTTGTGTCATATTTGTCGTATTGCTCGTGTTCTCAGGCAACCTCGAGGCAATGCATTGTTGCTTGGTGTGGGAGGATCAGGACGACAGAGTTTGACAAAACTTGCAGCATACATGTATGTACTGATTACTGCTTTAGTAGTGATGAATATATATATTTATGTTTGCACTTTTTTCATTTCTCATTAAGAACAAATATTCTAGAAAAATCAATGTTTTTTTTCTTCTAGTAATATATCTATATCTCTGTACTATTTAAAAAGCTCCCCAGTGGCACAGTGGTATGTCTGCAGACTTACAACGCTAGAATCCGGGTTTCAATACCCGTGGTGGGCATAGCACAGATAGTCCATTGTGTAGCTTTGTGCTTAATTACAAACAAGCAAACTATTTAAAAACAATAAATTTTGAACAGTTTATGGAAAAAAGTTTCACACATTTGTATGTTTTTTTATCAACTTGAAAGTGAGTTTCTTTATATAAATCCTCACTTCTTACTAAACTAAATGTAGCTTGTTCCCTTATTGAAAACAACTGATTAATACTACCAGCACTTAAAGAAATTGCAGGACTTATGCTTAGACTCAAACTGATGAAAAAGTTTAATGTTTCTGATTGAATGGTTTTTCTGAAAATCAATAAGAGATCAAGGTTACAGAAAGAAATCCCCAAAGCACATGGATATATATATAATAGTTTTGTTTTAAATTTTGGAAAGAAAACTCACTGAAAACTGTGTATACTGAATTTCTTGACATCATTTGCTATTGAACTTTGTGACTGTAATAGTGCTGTAATAGAATAATAAGAATAATTTTAAGCACATTACTAATGCTCAAATTACTTATGACCAAAATGAAATTATTATAATTCCTTTTGGATAGTAAAACAGTTTTTTATTTTTACAGAGCTGATCATGATTGCTTCCAAATTGAGTTAAACAAAAACTATGGCACAAAAGAATGGCATGATGATTTAAAATCAGTGATTTTAAAAGCTGGAATTAATAACAAGACAGTTGTTTTCTTATTTTCAGATACACAGGTAATTCTTACAGTACACATAACAAATTATACCTAAGTTATTATTATTATTTTTATAAGCATTTATAATTTTTGTATCTTAATGAATTGAATTAATGTTAAAATTAGGTGTTAATGGCCTGGTTTCACATTTTGATAAAACAATTGGATTTGAGTTTTATGATTTAAAAATTTTTGAAATTTAATTTATTTGTTAGAAGTATTCATTACTTCTATTTTGAATGAAACAAATATTTTCAAAATTTTATATGTATAACTTATTTTCAATTAACATATAAAAGAACTGAATATTGTTGTGTGGATGAACTAATACCTTTTTAAATTAAGAACAGTTGCAACATGTTTCCATGTATAATATTTTTATCAAAATTATAGAGTTTTTTTCATAAACAAAGCACAAAGAGTTAAATTAGAGTTGTTTTCATCCCTGAAAAAATAATTTGATTTTTAAGAAAAGACAAGTCTTACGCATTGTTCTTATATAGAAGGCAGCACTTTGAATTTTAAAATTTTCATCCCCAACATGCAGATTAAGAATGAGTTATTCTTGGAAGACTTAAACAGCCTTTTGAATGCTGGTGATGTTCCAAATCTGTTGGGGTCTGAAGAAGAAGAGCAGATATTTTCTGCTGTTAAACGTGATGTATTAGATGCAAATTTACTCCTCACTAAAGCCAATCTATACTCTACATTCACCCAGAGAGTTTGCTTTAATCTACATATAGTTATTGCTATGAGGTATGAAAACAGTTAAAATATTTTGCTGTTTACAGGCTTTTATATGTAGAATTTCTCATTCAAACATAAGTGGGATTGTAACCCCAAGGCATCACCTGGCCAACCATTGGAGAACACTGCTGTCCATATTCATACACAAGTGCAGTTGTACAACCATATCTCACATAGACAGACCAGGTGTTATCTCACTTGAGCAAATAAGATGTTATCTAATGAAAATGACAAGTTACAAAGGCAGCTAGAACAAATGCAAATCAACAACTTTCTTGCCAAAATGTATTGCCACAACTCAGCCTTTTAACAATATAAAACTTAATAATTACATCAATAATTTCATATGGCAAGACCAACAAAGAAATCATATATCTGTATTATATAAAAAACCTTAATAAAACTGTAGTACCCACTGAAATTCCCTTTGTATCATCACACACACAGCCCAACCAAAATTTGACACAGTAGAAAAAGTTATAAAATACCATTTTAACTTACCACACAGTATCCTGATGCACAAATATAGTAGAAATGTTCTTCACAATGTAATATAATGTTACAAAAACAAACCCTGAATTTCACCTGAATACAAAATAAAAACCTTAACATAGATACAATACATAAAGAGCCCTTTAACAAAAGTACATAATACATAATGTTCACAATCAAAACATCCTTTACCACTGAATATAAACAAAACTCTTGAATAATAATATCAAAGACATGGTGAACATTACAATTAAAGCACGTTATAAACATCAATCATATTGTAAAATCAAAACTCAACTGAAACCCTTATTAATACAGTAAACACACACACACATATCAGTAAAATCCCTTGACAACAAAATTGATTAAAACATAGTAAACCATCTCAATAACTATACCTTAATAAAACATACAAAATAATCAGAATTTTCAATGAACCCTTTGAAATTAATTAAAATAATAATCTTGAAAGAAAAATCACAAGAAATATTTTTAAAACTGAAATTTCTTAAAAACTCAAAACCAAAACACATTAAAACAGTAACAACATTTTATAATAATTAGCAAATAAATGAAGAAGCAAAGAAAAATAAAAAATAAAATTCAGATACATACATATATATAAAATTCTTAAATATAGAAAAAATTAAATAAACATATACAAATATACACACCTACCTCAACGTATGTAGATCACAGACTGGCCATTGTGTTGTCTCAGTTGATCTCCTATGCCAGACTAAGGCTCTTCTTATTTGGGGCTAGCTTTTCTCACAGCTGTCAGACCTTCTCCTTCAGATGGAAAGATAGTGTATTTCATTGGCAATATTCCCTGTGAACAGGCCAGGTGTTATCTCAGTAGAATGGCAAAGATCAGAGTCGGTTAGAAAGAAAAGAAAACAACTCAATGATTATTTTGATCAGTGTATGTGAAAACTGCACATGCACAGAATAAATTAATGTCAAAACTTTTTATTAAGATAGGACGGTAGAAAATCCATGTTTACATACCACACCTCCCCCCTTCAGGTTTGTTCTCAATCTGATAATCAATCTTAAGTAAAATAAAATCTATACGTATGTGATATGCATGTATACCATGCATCTTCTGCCTTTTTGTTGTATTATAGACTTTTTCTAAATTTATCATTTATTCTATGTACATGTAGATTTCACATATTACATGTTCAAGAAAGTCAGTAATTTGATTTTGTTCTAACTTCCTTTGTTCTTTCCCATTTTTTACAGATAACACCTGGTTTGCCCATGGGAGGATAACTGCTGCAAAGTTGCATTTTATGCATGAATGTCGACAGCAGTGTCCTCCAATGGTAGGTCAAGTGATGTTCCAATTTTACAATCACTCCTTATGTTTAAAAGAGAACAATTGTTCATGTAGATGGTTTGCAGAGAAAGAAGTTAGATCTAGTAAAACTAACCATCTGTCATATCAAGCAAGTATGCAGTGTGTGTTTTTAAATAATAAAGATTGTTGATTGTATTTTTTGTACAATTGTGTTGTCCCAGTATTTCCTTCTCAGGAGCTCAATTACTAAGAGGACTTACTTCAAAATAATTATCTTGTTCCAATCTTTCATTATTCTGCAGACCTATTTTGTCACTCTAAGGGATTGGTTTGACCTTAATATACCAAAATAATATAAATACAATGTGCGTGGTAGACATATATGTATATATATATAGTTTTATCTATATAACATAAACAATTGGTTCCCATGTTTTAAGAAAGCTTTGAGATTTCATCCTTTTTTTTATCCTAAAAAAAAGTTTAACATCATTCTGAAGGCTAGAAGAGTTGAAAAGCAGAGTTTCATATTTTTGCAATCACATATTTAGTACAGTAACAAAAATACATCAAACCACTTAATTTGTTACACTGATATGAACTGCAAATGTTTATTTAAACAAACAACAGTGTATAATGTATACGTGAGATTTAGTCCAGAGATTTTATTTTAAACAGATAGCAACTGGTCTCCTTATAACTTGTATGACTTGTTTTCTGCATGTATTATCTAATTACAATATGTGTAGAAAAAAAAAGTGAAAAATAGTGGGTCATTGTTATGGTCAGTAGTCTATATTGTCACCTAGTCTAATGACTAATTAGCTACTAATATTCTGTTTTTGTTATTAGAAACTAATTACCAGTTAGTTTATATCATACATTTTGCCATCTTCATCAAAGTTCTGAAAAGAACTGTATGTGGTCAATACTAGAATTCAATCCTAGCTCTTATCATTATAAAGGCAGGTGTGCTATCCAATTGTCTGAGCTCCTATCCCCACTACAAATATTAGTCCATCTTTCCTCATAATTTGTTTTTTATTTTACCAACTGCACATAGCCCTTTAGGAGAGGTATTTCGATCAAGACTTCGGCAGTTTCCAGCTCTTGTCAATTGCTGTACAGTAGACTGGTTTACTGAATGGCCACCTTCTGCTTTACAGTCAGTAGCAGTTGCTTATTTGAATGACATTCCTGATCTTGATGCAAGTGAGGAAGTAATCAAAGAATTGGTAAGTTCCTTTACTAGCAACTACAATGTTAGTAATGTAGGAGGGTGTGCATTCATTATAATGTGTTTAGAAACTGTTTCTAATGTTTTTTATCTAAGCAGTTCTGCTTTCCTAATACATTATGTTCATATATAATACAATGTTTTCTAATGACAGGATTGTATTAAAATTATTTTGGACTCTCACCATGTTGTTAAAATCCATATCACCACATACAGTTGTGCTCTGTCTGATAGTTATGCATCTTGAAAGTACCCCTGCAGTGTATTTTCCATTACAAAAGGCTCTGTCGTAAGGGTAGATGTCCAAAGCATGCCTTCTATAATCCATCTAGTGCATGAGAATACTGGTTTCCCAGCACCCATTTTCAACAGTCCAATCACACAAAAATCCAAAGACACTGCATCTGGCAACTTGAGAGGTGGGTTTTTGTATGGAATAGCTTAAGTATATATTTCATTCTTCTGCTGCTTTAGATATGGTAGGGGTTGAGAGTATATTTGGTGGAAAGGACTTGTGTTACTTTTCCAAATGGAAATCCTTCTTGATTATGTTTTATACTATTTCCCAGAACATATGGATAGTTTTTGTCACTGACCTTTATGCTTTTGGATTAAAACTTGACAATACACTGCATCTTACTTACCACATCTGGGGTACAGCTTGTTGCAGGTCTCTTTCTGGATGGTTCTGGTTCCCCAAGTTAAGTTGATCCATAGTTGTTAGTTTTCCAATGCCATTAATTAATGCACTGGATATCATCCGTGGTAATTCTAAACCTCAAGCTGAATATATCTTTATGAATGCATAAATACTTTGCATTGGAAAGGACTGTTACATACTCTTCCAAAAACCAAAACATTTTGGGAGGTATCACATTACCTATATACAGTGCCAAACAATGTAAAAATGTAATTCTTGTACAAGTCATGTATCATAACTTTATGCTGGCTGTGGTTTTTAAGTAATTAGCTGATTTAAAATTATTTTAATATAACAAACTCAACACTGTATTTATGATATAATTGTGTTTTATCTTTGTTAAAAATGTTGCTATAATAACCAAAGGAATTAGTTTGAGTTGTGTGCTTCATATTTGATAGTTTTAATTTATATACTTAAGATTATTCTTATAAGTTATTGTATTATAGTGAATACTATCTAAAACCAACCTGTGAAAAGCTTTTGAGTAGAAAAGGTTAAGTTAAACGAATTGCTTTGTGCAAGCATAGTTTTGTAACTGTGCATTAATGGTATAAAAATTATGAATCTGATATTGAAAGTATTTTATCAACTTGTTTTATGGTATAAACTCCAGTAAGTTTAACTTATTTCTCTCTAGGTTTATATGTGTGAAGAGATCCATCAGTCTGTAGTTAGCTGTTCAAAAAGATACTTAGAAGAATTATCTCGCCACATCTATGTAACACCTACAAGTTTTCTAGAACTGCTGCATATTTTTCAAAGTTTATTTTCTAACAAAAAGAGAGATCTCATTCAAGCAAGAGACCACACAAAAACTGGATTAGATAAGGTAAGCTTATGTGAAAGGCATAAATTTGTAATTTGTTTATTTGTGTAGCTTGGTTCAAAGCCATGGGTGCAGGAGCTGGGGGTGCTGATGATGTAATAGAATCCCCTGGCTTGACTTACAGAGATTTTACAGGGGATGACTCTGACCCTAACAATTCTATCCATTTATCCCATGCCCAGTTTTTCCACCTTTGTCTTACTCTTACGACTCTCCTATGATACTTGTCCACCATACACCTCCTCTCTGAGGCACTCCACTGATATCCTGAGGGATTTGGGGGGATTCATTCTCCCTCATTATTTCTACATTGGTGTTATTATTCTCTCTGACTCTCTCCCTTCACACGTGGTTTCTTTGCTATTGGAATCTTTTAGGGAGGGATACTGACTTATCTCAGGTTTCTTTATCATCAACTTGTCTTTGGGACTTGCAGATGTCTCCTTTTCTACATGGTCCATTTTGGGGATATTCCTGAGAATTTGGATTCACCTGTCGAATCTGTAAGGCAACATTTGACCCTTTCATCTTTGGTTGCTCATTTGTCTCATTCTGAGCCCTTGCAATACTCTGTTGCTTTTCCATGCCCTGCACCTTCTCATCTTTTACCTATTCCTATCAATAAGGGTTCCAACAATCATTGTGTTTTTCAACATAGGTTTCATCAGCTCCAGCAGTGCCGGTGACTATCCTGTGGATTCACATCCAGTAAGGACTTGTTTGGCTGATTTTATTACCCTATGGCGGGAATCCTCTGTTGATCCGTGAGTTATCCAGGTTTTGTCCAAAGGATTTTTCCCTCAATTCCTTTCTCCTCCTCATTGTCTCCAGTACCCATATCCTTTCCGTTACTTTGGGATCCTAATACCAGTCGACATCTGTGTAAGGCGGTACGGTCTCTTCTATTACAGAGAGCTGTTGAGCCTCTCAGCTATTATTTCCCAGCATTTTACTCAGGTTGTTTGTGGTGCCCAAGCAAACTAGGGTCTAGCATCCTGTGATCCGATTTACCATGGAGTCCTTTCTCCCACTAAGGTGGATCTTTTGTCTAGGACTGTGGATGACCAAGGTAGATGTCTTGAATACTTATTTCTCATCAATCAAGATGCTATCTTTGGTTGTCTGCCAAGGGGTCGTGTATCAGTTTTGCATCTTGCCCTTCTGGCTTGCTTTGGTTACATCTGTCCTTTATTGGGTGGTCAAAGCATTTGTCTGATTTGTGCATGCTTGGGGATTGTGCTTACATCACTACATGGATGACTGGCTTCTGTTATCGCATACTGAACTGGTTCATAACACACTCATCTGCTTCTTACAGAAACAGCTTGAGTTGGTTGGATTATGAAGTTGGAGAATTTGTTCTTGTTACCAACCCAATATCTTATCCACTTGGGTGTTTTTTAACACCCACCTCAGTCTCTCGCGAGGTTCTATCGTAGATGGGATGTGGCTGCTATGGAAACACTTATCCCCTTGGGTTGAGTACATATGAGGTCTCGTCAGTGGACTCTGCAAGACCAATGGGATTTTGCTCAGGATCTCTTGGATTCTCCCATTACCCTTTCCTTATCGATGATCTGTGTTGATAGTTGAGCAACACCCACATGTCATCAGATGTTTCGCCTCCTCCACCTCGTCCAGATGTTCATCTTTTCACAGATGCTTTCCTCTGTGTTTCAGGAGCATGGTTCAATCAACAAGAAGGTTCCGGACAATTGTCTACAACCAAGAAGTCTTACCATCTCAACATTTTGGAGCTTCTGGCAGTACAACAGGATTTAGATCACTTTCTTCCTCTTGTAAGGAATCAACTTGTCAGGATCCATTCTGGCAATTTTACAGTGGTGGCTTATATCAATCACTAAGGGGGCACCCATTCTTGTTCCTTTTGAGGTCGAACCATGGATCTACTTTTTTGGGCCCACATGCTTGGGATACATTTCCTTGTATGTCATGTTCCAGGTGCTTCCGACCTCGTGGCAGATCATCTTTCTAGACCAGATAACATTTATACCATAGAGTGGTCTCTCAATCATCAGGTTTTCCAGTGGCTATGCTCCCAGTGGAGTACTCCTCAGTTGGATGTATTTGTCACCTCTAGACCAAGTTACCTCTTTTTTGGTCTCCGGTTCCTCATCCACACACTCTAGCTGTTGATGCACTCAGCCAGGATTGGCCCAAATGATACCTTCATGTTTATCTTCTCATCCGATTTCTTCCCCAGGCGACTTAGATCCTCCATACCACTCTGTGTTAGGTCCTTCTGATTGCTTCTTACTGACCAACACAACCATGGTTTCCTCATCTACTTTGACTCCAAACTGCCTTTTCCTCTCATTCCATCCTTTCTATGTCAAACTTGGTAACTAGTAATTCATCCCACCCTTCATACCCTCCATCTTCACACCTGGCATTTATCAGGTACTTGGCAAGGAAATATGCATTGTCTTGGCGGGTCACTTTCATTTTAGCATGGTTCCATTCACCCTTCCTCAAGGGCGGTCTATAAACATGATTGGAACATCTTCCACTGTTGGTCTTCTGAGTCGGAGTTTTTCCCTTTCTTGACCCACTGTTCCTCTTATTACAGATTTCTTCATTTGGCTGTTTGATTGTAGGACTTCAGCCTCATCCATTGCTGGTTATTGAGCAGCCTTATCCCACAATTTAAATTTTTCCTGGTATCGCTTAGTGTGTACCTCATCTACACTCTCCCTTTTGTTATATTCCTTCTGGATTCATAGACCTCCTTGTTGAGCTGTCCTTCCAGATTGGGATGTCAATGTGATTCTTCACTGCCATACTCTACCTCCATTTGAACCTTTGTCTTCCTGTCTTTGTTTCACTTGTATCTTATGACTTATTTCCTATTCCTGTTAGCCAATGGGCATCACCAGTCTTATGTATTTGCCATCGATGTTTCACACAGTCTGTACCATTTCACCTATGTTCTCTTTTATCCAGCTAGATCTTTCCTCCTTTGGCAGCTGTAAGAGAAATTATTCCTTCTTGCCAATTTCACTTCCTTCTATCTTCCACTTTTATTCCTGGTCTGATCCAGATGGACTTCTTGTTCCCTACGTGCTCTTCTTTATTACATTGCTTGCATGGCTTCCTTCTGTTGGTCTTGTTCCCATCTTTTCATTCCCTGGCTACATTCCTCCATTTGTGACTTCTCCTTCCACTCTTACCAATTGGGTTCAGCTTTTGATTCAGTTGGCTTATTCATCCTTGTCTCCTTCTTTCCGAACTCAGTTCCAGGTGTTGTCGTATCAGATCAGGCACCTTACCTTTTTCCTGGCATCTCACTTCCATCATCCATTGGAGGAAATTCTACAGTCAGACATGAGGACTATACCTCATACGTCCCTCTCCAACAATCTTCACTGGGTAGCTCTTTACTCCTCATCAGGGTACTGTTTTCCATCTGTCGTCATCCTTCAAATTTCAGGGAAGCTGTGACTGGGTAAGTTATCTTTTTTTATATACATTTCTTTCGTGGCATGTCCCCTTTTTTCATTAAGGATACCACTTTGTGGTGAGCATTGCCTGTCCTGGTATACTTAATATTTTTCAAATCTGCACTGTATGGCCATGATGAAATCTTGAAATACAACATACTCATGGCTAATAATGCACACTGTTGAAAATGGGTGTTCCAACAGATCACTAGTAGGTTTTTCCCTTGTGATATATTTGATTCATTAATATGCCTGTTCTGAACCAAACTAACCCATGGGCAGAGGGGTATACCTGCCCACCCCTACTGTTTCTTTGATTGAATAAATCAGGGGCAGTCTACATTTCAAAATAAGGTTTTTGTGATCACCTGTTGCACTTTTTCTGGTTTTGGTATTCCTATAGACTCTCCACCACGTTTTATCCCCCTTTTTCCTACTAGTGGAGTATGTGGGAGACCTTGCCACTTTCCAGTTCTGAGCCACTGGGGTAGAGATCATACAATAATAATCAAACACTAAAACATTCATTCAGTAGAGACTAGAGTGGTGTTTTGCAGGTGTAGATGGCGTGTCGTCCTCCAACTGTGTGCTCTGTCTCTATACAGTGAACTCCAATGGTTGATGTTGTGCACAGCTTCTGTATGATTCTATCCAGAGGATATGGTTGCATATAATTGATTGAGGTGATCCCCTTCCGTGGGATCTGGAAGTTTTCTATGTGCTCCAATTCTGTATGGTCCTATCCGAGGGGATGATGTTGCACATGTCTACTAATAAATAACTCCACTTCTGTGTGGTGGTTTCTGGAGGTTAATGTTGCATGCAGCTTTTGTGCAGTTCTATCCAGAACGTGAAGTTGCTTATACTTTATTGATGCAATCCACTTCTGTGTGGTAGAACATGGAGGTTGCTATGGCACTCCAACCTTTCTGCAATCCTATCTGGAGGATGATGTTGCTTTGAAGTTGATCTGTCACATTGCAGTTCACCCCTCGTTTGGAGTCCCTCATCCTACCATCACATGGATGTCAGTTCCCAGTAACTGGTTTTGGATTTAGAGCAGGACCAATTAACATTATTCCTCATACATGTGTTGCTTGTGTTTCTTCTTCCTCACTCAATTTGTCTCATGATCACTAACTCTATGGGATAGTTATACTTTTCAATGAAGGCCATTCACTTCCATGCAGTGGGACCCAGGGGGTGGTGTTACGCTCCAACTTCTGTGCAGTTCTATCCGGAGGATAATGTTGCATGAAGTGACAGTATTCCCTCTTGCACTCCACCTCAAGGGGTTTCAGAGCCTGAGAATTATGTTGTGCAGTGGAGTGCCAGTCTGATTGTGTTTAAGTTTAATGTGATCTGCCACATGGGCTCAGCTCTTACTGCTATCTTCAGATGTCAGATTGCCATTTTGTATATCAGTTTGCACAGTATATAATTCTGTTCTGCTGAACTTGAGGTGAAGATAGTGTGGACCCTCCTCCTACCATGTATTGGAGATTATATTTCTTATAATGACAGTTTTTTGACTGGAGTTGATTTGCTGCATATGGTCCGTCATGCCCTAGCCACTCTACACCTTGGAGCACATCCATTTTAGCTTTCCCCCACATTACTGTCTGTAGATGTTTCTTCTATGGTCTTTTTTTTATTGGATTGTGATTATGATATACTATGGTTTAGCTTCCATTCCAACCATTGTTCTCTTCTTTTTTGGTTGTGCTCCTCCCTTTTTCCACCCATGTATATGTCACCTCTTTCCACACTGGGTACAGAGTATACCCGGTACACAAGTAGTGTGGTCTCCCATGTATGATCCTCTACTACAGAGAACACAATTCTGGGGTGTTCTTTGGATGCTTTTGGAGGATGCTTATTTCTATCCCATGCATCAGTCCCTCCATTTATTTAATTTTAATTATTTAATATGTGAGGACAGGTAATGTACCTTATTGGAGGTTGTAATTTTCCTATACTGAAAATGTATTTCTGATAGGTAATTACTTCTTCTCTCACTTTCCACCCTTCATCCCCACTGAAAACCAGTGCGTCTTTTTCTGCCTAAACTCAAAGTGATAGTTTGGAAGAATCAAATAGTGAGAGTTACGTGTGTTAGGAGGATGTGTCGCATTCCTATTGGTGGAGGATTGTTGCATGATGACTTACATGGGAGATGCAGTTGAATCATGATGATCGCAGAAAACATGGGAGAGCAAGACTTGTGGCATGCGAAAAAAAAATTACGTGTAGAGGGCAGCACTGAGCAAGAACAGCTATATATGTTATCAGAAGTAAGTACCTATCAGAAATACAGTTTCAGTATAGAATAATTATAACATTAAGTGGGTTTGAATGATGCTTTAAAAGGTATATTTTTTAATAGTTTAGATATAGTTTAGTATTATTATTCAGATAGGGAGGAATTATAATTTTAAATTCTTCTCGTACATTTTTTTAAATATATTTTGAGATGGATTTTTATATCTAATAATTTTGGATGTAATCTGAAGATAAGTTCTATTTTACTGGTTTTCTAAGGTCTG